ACTGGAATGCTGACCCTCAAACATGAAAGTGAACGGCTTTGCCCTCAAAACTGCAAATGAACGATTTTATCTTGTCCCATATTCATGTATTGAACACAATTTACGTCTAAATTTGTCACTTGACCCAACGTACGTGGCTGAATAAAAGCTTTCACATCAAAGGTACTTCAGCCATTCAGGTTGAAAATGTTCCTGGTCGGAATCTTTTATTTGTAGCCTCCTTTTTCGTTGGCATGCTCACCCCCCAAGGACTGCTGGCCATCCAGTGGGTAGTATTGTCTTTCACTGTAAACTAATAACGATTGCGAGACATATGCTTATTACTGGTTTCTGCTGAGCGGGTACACCATTACGCAACGTTCGGGTAACAGCCTAGCCATTTCATACAGAAGATCAGAGAAAGCCCTCAGTGTTTCCTTTATGTTGTCTGAAACCTTTGAAATGCAGCCTTAATGTATGGGGTCTCCGGTTTTCAATCACCTTATTTGCACCTTTCTGCGAAGGTGACTACATCATGCAGTACCCTCCAAATGACAAGGCATTTATGCAACAACGTCGACTCCAGAGACAGCCCCAAAGGTTGCTTGGCTCGACCGACATGGAAAGGTCAGCTGGCAATTGGCCAAAGGGCGCTGACCTGGCACGGAGTGACCACGCCGCAGCGTCGTGTGGCACACAAAAGATCCATTCGCGGCCCCATCTGGGTGAACGGGTTTGATGTAAAGCTGTCGGGCGAACAGGAAAGCCACAAACAGCACAGCTGAGATGGTAAGCTCAGCACACATGCAGCAGGCTCTGGATGGTTCTCAGCACTCAGAGTCTACACCCACTGTTACCAAACAGCACAGCTGAGATGGTAAGCTCAGAGCACATGCAGCAGGCTCTGGATGGTTCTCAACACTCAGAGTCTACACCCACTGTTACCAAACAGCACAGCTGATATGGTAAGCTCAGCGCACATGCAGCAGGCTCTGGATGGTTCTCAGCACTCAGAGAGCCACAAACAACACAACGGAGATGGTAAGCTCAGCGCACATGCAGCAGGCTCTGGATGGTTCTCAACACTCAGAGAGCCACAAACAGCACAGCTGAGATGGCAAGCTCAGCACACATGCAGCAGCCTCTGGATGCTTCTCAGCACTCTGAGCCTACAGCCTCTGTTATCAACCAGAGGGAAAACAAAAATATTAAAAACGAGTGAAGTAGATCACGTATTTCAAAGGCAGTCTTCGGTAATCGGATTCAAGTGGCGTGCGGTGATACACCCAACTGAAAATTATCAGGATTATTTTTTTTTGTAGATGGGCATATGCAAATATGAATGCACCCATGGACGCAACAAATCTGACTTTCCGATGTTGTAATAGCATCAGGGACGCCATCACCGAGTAGCAGATAAAGGTGATCTCATACTTGAACGCCTCGTTCTAACTGACTTTCTGCGTTCTTGATAGCACTTCCCCTAAGAATTAAAACATTTGTTTTCAATTTTAAAATAGTTCAACAGGGGCGAGCACGTTTTAAGTGCTTCGTGCTCACGCGTAGCGAGCAAATTTATTGGATATAGGCGCACAAAAACGGAAGCGCTCGCGCGTGTGTGTGTGTGTGCGCACGCGTGCGCGTTACGCGTGCGATTGTGCATGTGTGTGTGTGTGGGGGGGGGGGGGCTATGTCCCTCCACTTTCGTGCAAGCTGCATATGGTGATGCATTGACAAGTGTATTGATATCCCCCCATACCCCTCTACCATAACCCCCCCCCCCCCCCCTTATTCGACGATTCTACATCCCGCGTGTGGATTAGGGGCATGGCCATGCGTTCACTATATTTGGAGATATGACACCAGTGATCGTTAACAATGCGATAGCTCGTTTTTCTACCGTACATTTTCTTGGGTCTCTCTTTGTGCACAGGTTTGGTATAATCTACAGCTTTGAATCGATGGAGCTATTTGTTTAATCTGTGTGGAACCAGCTACAAGAGAGTGAGCAATAGCAGTGTGAAGTACCAGAAGGGAATGGTGAAAGCACGACAAATTTAGGCCAAGAGGGAGTTGCGTAGTTTGAGGCTTAAACACTTCCCGACAGCCTTCTACAAATTTGGCTGGATTCTGTGAACGACACTCATCAATCTATTTTGGCTACAGATCCTATTTCCCGAAGCGACACTTATTAATGCGCTGCATTGATCACCGGCTGACTTTGCTACTACCACTCGGGTTCGCTGATAATTTTCTCACACCAGCTGCGGTAGAAGCGTGGGTAAACATCTGCCTGGTCCATAGTTTTAGGTTGTTCTGCTCCATGCTACGTCGCCAATGCTCCTCTGACAGCTACCGGTGGAGGCTGACAGATGAAAGTGCCTTCCCACCTCAAGCATGCTCCCCCCCCCCCTACCTCAAAAGTTTTATGGCGCGTGTTCTCGGATGGTCTGTTGCTTTAAGACACTTACAATGCATGTTGGCAAGATGCTGGCTACTCAGATGTTTCCGGAGCTCCTTG